GAATACCCGACCGTGTGAGAACCCACGCAGCCCACCCCGGCCCCAGATTCTGGCTTCTGCTCCTAGATGCTGAAAGACCTGGAGCAAGTCCCTGCCTCTTCCTGGCCTTGGCCATCCCATCCCTGGCACGTGGGGGCGGCTGACTCTGCTCTCCACCCAACTCCTGCCCCGGACTCTGATGGGCACCTGTCCACTTCTCTTCCACTGCTTACTCTTTTTCTCCCACCTACTGTCTACCTTTAGGGGGGACAAGTGTATCTATAACTCCAGCTACCTGAAGGTCCAGCGAGAAAATGGGTCCTTCTCCCATCACGGTAAGGAACCACCACAGATGGGAGGGTCAGCCGTGTGGTGTGGGGTGGGCCAGCCTAAGCACGAGGGCTGGGACTGGAGCTCTGCAGGCTTTGGGCACAGAGAACACGGGACAGGCTCACTTCTTATATTTCCATGGTCCTGGTACCTGCACAGACAATTATCATAGGAATAATTGCAACGATTTTGGGGTCTTATTCTGTGTGAGGCATTTTTGAAGTGCTTTACATGACCTAATCCACTTAACACTCACAAACAACCCTAAGAGGACATTACAGTGCTCAGATGAGGACACATAAGAACAGAGATGTCCAGTAGTTTCCCTGAGGTCACACAGCTTATAATTAGAACTAGAATTGAAACCCAGGGCTGGATCTAGACCAACCTATCTCTCAACCACTCTTTAAGATTCTTTGAAAGCTAAATTTGGAAGCCAGTGCTTTGGGCATGTGGTAAATTCCTGATATCCCCACCATCACTGCAGAGATGTCACATAACAGAGGCACATAAATGCCGATGCCATTGAGCTGACACCACTTAGCACCGAGGCTCCTCTCTGGGCCTCGTTTCCATCATCTATATAATAGGGAGAAAGGCCCTGATGGCCACTGTCTGCGCGAGGCTCCTATGACTGCACATAGGTGTCATGCTCAGTGCAGCTCAGCACACGGCAGGGGCTGGGCACGCAGCAGCCCAAGTGACACCTGGGGCTTCGCTGATGGGCTCCTCACCATGAAACGGGGATGTTGTGACCTCCTGGGATCTCACCTAGAACTCTTTTCCCCTCCAGAGGTGGGCAGAGAATATGTTGTCTACTTGGTGCTCCTCCAGGACCCGAGGACCTTCATATTTACCGCCTACCCAGAAGACAAGCAGAACCAGGGACTGTCCTTCTACAGTAGAAGCTCCCAGTAGCCCCTGATTTCCTCCCCACTCAGGCCTTGCCCCGTGTTCTACCACCCCTGGGACTGGGCCCCTAGAACCCCAGCCCTCCCTGGCCTCCTGCCCATGCCCTGCAATGTACTTGCTCCCCTCTCAGCTGACAAGCCGGAGGCCACCCAGGAGCAGCTGGAAGTGTTCCATGAAGCTATGGCATGCATGGGCATGCAGAAGTCGGAAGCCATGTACACAGACTGGAAAAAGGTAAACGCAAGGGACCGGGCAGTGCCCACTCTATCAGTGAGCTCACTCTGGGCAACTCCCAGAAGCCCAGAGAAGGAGAGCTGACAGCCAAGGCTGCACAGCAAGGCAGGTCTCCTGCTTTTAAGCACCTGCCTCCCTGCAGGGACAGCAGAGCTTCACAGAGGCCCATGGGTGGTGGGTGAGAGTCCAGGCGGGAAAAGTCCCTAGAAAATCAGGGAAGAAACCGGAGCAGGAGGGGAGGACCTGAAAGGCTAACAGGAGGGAACAGCATGAGCCAAGGGGCGATGGTGGGAACAGAGCAAGAGACACTCGTGGGAGTTACCATTATGGTTGCCTCCCACACCCCAGGCTACCCCACCTCCCCCTGGCCCTTGTTAATACCCATGAGGTGGGAATTAGTATTGTGGTTTTCAGTGGCACCCAAACTGCAGCAAGTCCAGGATGGCCATCCCGAGTTTTACTATAAATGAGGATTACCTGTATGATAATTTTCTTACTACTTTCCTTTGCACTTGTGTTCAATGAAAGGCTTTACTATGTCACAATATCTGCAAAGTCACAGAGCTGATGAGTTGGTCACTTTTTTTTTATACACATGAAATACTTTTACAACTGCTGCAATAAAAATGTCTCCATCCCTTTCCCACCCGGGGTCATCTCCTGTGACCACCGGTGGTGTGAACCATCCCCTGCCCCAGCCCCAGGAAAGGGCTTAGGAGCACAGCTCCTGGGTGGGTCCCCCTGGTCCACAGTCTGCTTCCCCCATCACCTGGTCTTCGGACAGTTCCCATGGCCACCCTGAGCCTCAGGGGCACCGTCTCAAGGTGGTGGTGGTTGCGAGAATGCAAGAGACATTAAATGTCAGGTGTTTTTAAGGGGTTGAGCCTTCATCCTAGAGGTAAATAAACTGAGGCTCAGAGAGGGAAAATGACTTGCCCAACGTCACGCAGCTAGAAGTGGCAGACCTGGAGATGGGGCCCTGCTTGGGCTGGTCCCAGAGGCCAGAGCCCATTCCACCTCTGCCCCTCTAGGACCCCCGCCTTCCCCCATCTCTGTGTTTTCTTCCCGCGCCGTCTTCTAGGATCAGTGTGGGCCGCTGGAGAAGCAGCACGAGGAGGAGAGGAAGAAGAGAACAGAGGAGTCCTAGGAGGACACAGCTTTGGGACAGGAGCTCAGGGACGTCGGGGCCATCCTCAACCCCGCCCCACGCCCTGCCCTTTGTACCTCAGTTCTTTCCTCCAGTTGCTTCAATAAAACTTCTGCATTTGGAGCAGTCAGGTTGTCAGTCACGTGTCCGTTTGCTCACTCATTCATTCATTCATTCATTCACTCATTCATTCATTCATTTTGAAGCCTGCCCTGACTTGAGCCCTGGCTGGGTGCTGGATAAGACCCCGACCCAGGCTGGAAGAGCCCCTGATGTAATGACCAGCCCACATGGCAGGATGGACAACAGGCACCGGGTGCTGTGGGAGCCCAGCACAGGGAAGCTTCCATCTGCAGTGGGGAAGTCTGGGAAGGTGACCTGTGTTGCAGGAAATTAGGAAAGGACAAGAGTGGGAAGAGGAAACCTGGCTGTTTGTGAGTAGGAGAGTTGTTAGAGCTGGTTCCCTGAGGACATAGGCTGGCACAGCCTCGGGAAATACAGACAGACAGGGAGCTCTGCCCCCAGCTAGTGCCCCATTCGGTAGGACCAATGAGCTCCCACCAGGTAAGGTGCCAATCAACAGAGACTACCAGGGCTCCACCAATGACCAAAGGACACGAACCCAGCTGGGAGGACTGAAAGCCCCAGGAATATAACTTTCAGTGCTGTTGAGCCATTCTCTCTCCCTGCAGCCCTGTCCATCCTCTTGATGGGGTGTCCTCTGTCTCTTTCTAAGTAAAACTGCTCTTTGCATGTCGCCTGGGTCTCTTGAGCTACAGATCGCTGGAGCCCTCTCCATGCTCTCTGGAATGTACTTTCTCTCTTTCTAAATAAACTGCTCTGTTTTTCACCTGTGGAGTGTCTTGTCCAATTCTTTGTTTGAGACACCAAGAACCTGGACTTAGGTTGTGAAATCTGCAGTTTCCTCAGTTTCCTAACACCTGGAAGGGGTATCTGAACCAGGCTGGAAAGATCAGGAGCTTGATAAAACCTGCTGTTTCTGCAAACAAGGACCTGGGAGGACATGTCTGAGGAACCCGGACACAGAGGACACTAAGTAGGAATGGAGGTGGACGGGGTTGGGGGTGGGTGTATTCAGGCATGTGGTGCCAATCACAAAGGACTTTACTTCAGACTTGTCACCATGGCTATCTGGGAGATGAAGTGGGAGGGGCCAGACGAGGCAGGAAGGCCTTTCGGAGGCTGTAGTGGGCATCCTGGTAAGAGTGGGGTGCCTGGACCAGGGCAGGGCAGGGACAAGAAGGGTGATGTGGGGGACTCAGATTTAGGCCAGAGCAGCTGGGTGTCCCCATGCAACTGTCCTCAGGGTGCCCTCCCAAGACCCAGAAAGAGATGACACCCAGGGCTGAGGTTGTACCCTTGAAACCAGGTGAAATCATACCTTGGGAGTGTTTGGAGCCCTTGAGATAGATTCATGCCTGAGGTGGCCCACTCGGTGGCAGACAGTCAAGCTCCTGGAGCCAGGTGTCCGGCAAAGAAGGGCTGGTCTCCTCCCAGACCCAGAGAGGTTCGTGACGAACGCACTACTCGAGTGGCAGGAAATCTGGGGCTGAATCGTTTGGGCAATCCCACGTTTAAGCTGCTGAAGCCATCCAGTGACAGGACCATAAACCTGAGACCCCAGTGTCCAGTCCTGTGCCCTCACAGGCCAACACACTGTTTGCCCCCCGACGGTCCTCAGGCCCAAACTTCAGCATCCTCTGCTCAACACCAGGAAACATTGCTGTGCCATGACAG